CTTTGGGGCATGATGATTTTGAGATTCCTGTGGGACATCCAACTGAAGATGTCTGGAAGGCAGTAGGACGTGTGGTCTGTACCTCCAGGTAATGTCCAGGAGGCAGATGTAGATTTGGGAGCCAACAGAATGTAATGGAAACAGAAGCCATGGGGCTCACTGAGATCACAACTACATAGAGTAAGAAGAGAAGAGGCTCTTAGGTAGAAGCCCAAGGAACTCCAACATTTAAGAATGAGCAGAAGACGAAAGCCCTATCAAGAAGACTGAGAAGGAATCACCGATGTTCTTATGCTAATGTGAATGTCAAAATATTCATATTTTTCCAAATTAGAACAGCGCAAATAAAGACAAGGAGATCATTTTCTTAATTGTATCTAAGTACAGTACAGATAAACTTCATATTTGAAAATAAGATTTCTGAGGCTTTCCCAAAAGAAACAGAAGTACCAATAAACACATGAAAAATTGTTCAACCTCACTAACAGAAATGCCAATCAAAATATGTAAATATCATACTGGACTTTGTAGGAGGTCACTGTTTGTTTGTACATATTACTTGGGACTGGCAAGAGTGCAATGGGACAGGCCCTTTAGCCACTGCTGGTAGGACTAACTGGAGAGCAATTAATTTGTCCAAATCCATCAGGCACCATCAAAATATTTAGACTTTTACACCTAGCAATTCCACTTTTTGGATTGACTCATATGCAATTAAGTAGATTAATGCAAAGAATTATGTAACAGGATTCCTGCTACAGCATTATTTATAAAAACAATAATTTTAAAATTTGAATGTATAATTACATAGAAATAATTAAATCATGCTACATCCATCTACGTATGCAGTACAATTTATGTAATTGGATGCAATTGCTAAAAATCATGTTTTGAAGAAACAATTTCTGTGATGAGAAAATGCTCAGTATACAATAGTAAATGAAATATACATAATTCCAAGTTATAATAAATACGCAGACACATAGACACAGTAGAAGAAAACACTCAAAATACTCCAAAATAATAATAGTGGTTACTTGGTAATGATAGAATTACAAATAACATTTTTACTTTCTTCTTTATATATTTCTACATTTTCTCAATTTTCTACAATGCACAGTGTAATTTTTATAGGTTTAAGCAAATATTCCTATTATATTCTAATCATATTTTCATTATTAAAAGCTCTTTTCATTTCAAAATACTGCTATTATCTTTAAGGACATTTTTTTAGAACCTAATTGGGAATTTTGGTTCTAATTCTTATATAATGTTACCACTATTTCTATACTGCTATTTTCAAAACAGAGGCAAAGTAAGGCATAATGAATCATTCTAGAAAGCCCCAAGTAGACGCTAGCCCTCATGTCAGACCAGGAAAAACTTTTAAATTGTAACCCTGTAAAGTAATAACTGCAGATGAAAATGTATAATATTAGTATTGACTATGATTTGGGTTTGAGACAGCTAGAGACAGAGTTTCCACATTCACTGAAGCCATTAGGAAGTGAGTTCTGATCACCTCCATCAATTATCAACTGAAAGGCAACATTGAATTTTATTTAAAAAAAAAAAAAAAAGACTTAAAACCTTTTTGAAAATGTTCCTCCCACTTTGTCTCACAATGATCTTCTTTATGAAATTTGTATTCTTATGCTCGCTTCAGCAGCATATATACTAAAACTGGAAATTTATATTCTTAAACCACATTCTAATACGAATTCACTTGCTGACTGAATAAAGAGAAATTACTCACAGAGGGCTGCACATGCTTAAAGATTACTGCTTGAGGCCAGGTGTGGTGGCTCTCACCTGTAATCCCAGCACTTTAGGAGGCCGAGGCGGGCGGATCATGAGGTCGGGAGTTTGAGACCAACCTGACCAACATGGTGAAACCCCATCTCTACTAAAAATACAAAACTTAGCTGGGCATCGATGCCGGGGTCTGTAATCTCAGCTACTCACGGAGGCTGAGGTCGGACATCACTTGAACCTGGGAGACAGAGGGCTGCAGTGAGCCAAGATGGCGCACTGCACTCCAGCCTGGGCGACAGAGCGAGACTCCATCTCAAAAAAAAAAAAAAAAAAAAAATTACTGCTAAACAAAAGTATGATAAACGATTATCTTAGACTGTTGCAAGTAAGTCATTTTGTTAGATAAACATTTATAGACTCAAGAGACCATCACAACCCATGAAAATCAGAAACCTTTCTTTTTTTTTTTTTTTTTTTTTTTTTTGAGACGGAGTCTCGCTTGTCGCCAGGCTGGAGTGCAGGCCGGAATCTCAGCTCACTGCAAGCTCCGCCTCCCGGGTTCACGCGTTTCTCTTCAGATCGTATAAATCTTTCTACTTTTACAGAAACCTTTCTTAATGACTCGGAGTTTTGCCAAAGATGTTGATAAAAAAAACCTATAAAGATAAACTATCAACTAAACTGTTTTATTCCAACATGTATGAGTATAAGGAAGGTTTCATCAATTTCAACAGTAGATAATGATAATCATGACAACTCAAAATATTGTATTTAGTCAATATATACTTTATGCTCATTTTCAAAAACTTTTATTTTTCAGAAAAAGGTAAGTCATTAACTATAAGACTAAAGACTGATGTAATTTGTATAGCTTTTAAGACTTTCCCTAAAAAATAAAGTCATGCATAGGAAAAAATTTTCATCATTAGATCTTGTGTCCCAATTTTTGTTTTATATAAAATATTTCCCAAAAATATAGGCAAAAATTAATTTTATGATACAGTTGGCAAAAAAAAACCAAGGAAAGAAAAAAACAGTATAATGAATGATGCTGAGTCAACTGATTAGCTAGCTGGGAAAAATTAATTTAGATCCCCCTCTCATGCGATTCATCAAAATAACTCCAAATATTAATAGATCAAAGAGTTACATGTTTGGAAAAAAAATTTTAAGAAAAAATGTTATCTGCTCTTTAAGTGAAGGATTGAGCTTAAAAATTATATACAATCACAAAGGAAAAGATACGTAATTAAAAAGCTAATATCCTACCTCTTAACTGGTCCAAGAACATGAGCAGAGGATTTACCAAAGAATAAATAAAAATAAGTACTAAAACATGAAAAATGTTCAACTTCACTAATATTCAAAGAAATACAAATAAAAACAAGGTGCCATTTTTAGTCTCAAAATAGCAAAGATTTTTTAAAATGAGAACAATACATTCTGGTGAAATGTATGTGAAAAAAAAAGGCCGCTCTCATTCACTACTGATTTAGGGTGTAAATTGGTATACTCTTTCTAGAAACTCAATTAGCAACAGATAATGAGCCATTAAGTGTTCACACCCTTTGAAACAGTAATCCATTTCTAGGAATCTTAAGAGGCCAACCTAAAATGAGAGCAAAAATGTATGCACAAAGATGTTCATTATAGCAATATGGGTAACAGCAAAATCTTTGAACTAATTAAATTTATATAAATAATATGGAATTGTTTAATTCGTGGTATGTTAGCAGAATGAGTAACATGATAAAGTAACATTATCTTTATAACGAATTTTTAAATTACATAGAAATGCCTATGATATAAAGTTACGTGAAGAATTCAAAATTACATCCATGTAGCATGACATTTAAAAGTTTTATAATGTGCACATGCTCATAAAATTTCTATTAACCTGCTTGTTTTACACCATCACAAGAAAATGGCTTTTCGCTGAATTTGGAGGGTGTATGTTGGGTGGTCTGATCTAAAATTCAGGCTATGTGGCACAAAAACAATTTGCTGTGTGGCTGCTAACAAATTAGTCATTCTCCAGAAGAGGTTTAGGTTTGTGATAGACCCATTTCACACTTGAGCAATCATAGACAGCTTGTTCAAAAAAAGTACTAGCAGGAATTTATTTAAGTCATTACTGACTCCCCTGAGCAACAAAAGACTGGCCAGCAAATGTATGTGCATGAATGTACATGGGTGTGCTCACACATTAATATCTATCTAGGATATGATATGGTTTGGATGTTTTGTCTCCTCCAAAACTCATGTTGACATGTGACCTCCAGTGTTGGAGGTGGACCTTGTGTGAGGTGTCTGGGTCATGCAAGCAGATGTTTCATGAATGGCTTGGTGCTGTCCTAGCAGTAATGAGTGAGTTCTCACTCTCAGTTCACAAAAGATCTGGCTGTTTAAAAAAGCACCTCCTCCCTCTCTCTCTTGCCCCCTCTCTCACTATGTGACACACGGCTCCCCTTCACCCTCTGCCATGATTGTATGCTTCTTAAGGCCCTTGCCAGAGGCTGATACTAGCACTATGCTTCATGTCCAGCATCCAGAACCATAAGCCAAATAAACTTTTTTCTTTATAAATTACCTGGTCTCAGATATTTCTTTATAGCAACACAAATGAACTAATACAGGATATACCCTAAAATATTAGCAATAATTTTCTAAATAGAGATATTTTAGAATTGCACTAATATGGTACCACTAGACACATAGGGCTATTTACATAAAATTAAGTACAATTTAAAATTCCTTCCTTCAGTCACACTAGTCACATTTCAAAGGCTCTATAGCCACAATAGCTAGTGGCTACTGTATTGGACAGTGCAGATCTAGAACATTTCCATCATTACATAAACTTCTTTTGGACAGTGCTGTTCTAAAAGTTTTTTTCATGTTCTTCTTTATACTTTTTCCAAATTTATTACAATATGCATTGTAGTATATTCCACTTATTAACAGGGAAAAAAACACTATGAGAAAAGAAAATAAGGTTAAGAGAGGAAACATTACACCAGAGGTGCAGAGGACACATTCTGCAGAGAGAATCCTGGGGATATCATACTAGGTGGGGAAAAGCAGGTGGTCACACAGGCACTCAGGGAAGAACAGGAAAGGCTAAAAAGAGACATGGGAATAATAGACATTCCAAGGTAAGAAAGAACACAGAAATTCTAACAGCAGGGGTGGGGAAGGAGGCAATTAGAGCAAGAAGTTACAGGTTCTTGTCTCTCCCCACTCACCAGCCATTACAGCTGCTGACCGCTGAGCTGGCTCAAAAGGACATTTCCCCCGGCCACTCTCAAGTCTTTCAACCTGCTGGAAACTGGACACGTCCTATAGACCAGAAGGGGGCAATTGGTTTAGGGGTCACAGGGCAGGTTCACGGTGAGAATTACAAAGATGGTCAGATGAAGGAAAAGGTCAATTTCCATTCCTCTCCCCTTCCACTCCCCACCCCCAACTACCATCCCCATATATCCAGTCAGCTATTCCTGATGCCCCCATCTACTCCTGCATTTCTCATATCTGCTATCCTTTGTTCATCAGTTTATTCCTCTTCCCTCAATTCCCCCAGTAGCCAACACCCACATGCCCTGATGAAGAAATTCCTAGGACAGCCCAAGAAGCACCTAAGAGGCTGAAGGTAGGTCTTTCCTCTGAAACACTGCTGAACTGTAGGGTTTGTAACTGGTTGGAGAATATGCTACATGACAAAAAGGATCAGGAAGAAAGCAGGCCTCCTGAGGACTGGAAACTTTAGGAAGGACAAAGAAAAGTACAGGCCGATAAAGGACTATCTGAAACACAGAGGCCTAGAGAGACAAGGGCCATCCTCCTCCTATTCCCCACCCCAAGGATGAAAGAGCTGCATCATACGACCAAGGGCAGAGGATGGGGGAACCTGCAAAGTTGGTAAAGAATGACCTGAAGCTCAGGTCAGAATTTGAGAGTGGTAGATAGGTACCTTCCTCACCCAGGGACTCCAGAGGGACTGACCTGGGCAAGGAACAAGAGGTGTAAGAACTTCATCATAGCCAGCCAGAAGTTACCTTAGTCTAGCATTTGGCACTAAGAGAGGCTTCAAGATAACATCTAAAAACAAGGATGATTTCAACCTAGGACTGAGAGGGAAGTTAACAGTGGCTGGTTGGGAGTCAAAGTTATGGCATGGAGATGCCAGGTATTGTATCTTTAGTTCACAAACTGGGGTGGGCATATGGTGTTATTGGAGCCTAATTACTTCCATGGTAGCTGTTGCAGAAATATCAATATATATCCCCCAAACATAAGTGTACTATTAGCCCACTCCAATTGCTCATCTCTTGCTCTAGATGGCAAACAAGGTTCTATTTTACTGAGAGTCTTGAAGAAGGCCTATTAAAACTTTGGAAGTACCCAAAAAGGGAATGCTGGGTCAGAAGAGTCTGCTGGAATGGAGGGCTCCACAGAGGCACAGCACTCCAGCTGTGTGACAGTGGGAGCATCCTCACCTCAGGAGAAAGATGGATTTGGTGAGAGATTAACAAAATGGCTGGGCACTCTAGAGATGTGGTATGTACCTGCTGCTGCTTCCCTTCTTACCTCTCACCTAAAGCATGGCAGTAAACTCCTTTCTCCACATCATCTAGCCACCCCCACCAACCAAGTTATTCTAATAGCCACCCAAGATTAATCTTCTGAAGTATTGGTCACTGACTTAATAATAAATTTTTGTGCAAAAGAATGAGAAAATAGCCCAGTATTGCCTGGAGTACAACCTCATTAGCCAAACCTACTTATTTTCAACTACTTCTCAAAATGACCTTTGTTCTATCCAAACCAGATCACCTGTTATTCCTGGAAAATAAATTATGTTTTCTATGCCTATAACTACTGCCTTACATTTCTCCAAAGACTAAAGGGATGAACTTTTTCTCAGTTCTCATTCTCTTTATGTGCCATTGGATACTTTTGATTCACCCCCTTCCTTGAAATATTCTATTCCTTGACTCTCCTGAAACTCTACCCTTCTGGAATCCCTCCTGTTATTTCTCTATTTCCTTCTTCTTCTTTCTAGCTCCTACATGTGTATCCTAAGAATCTATCCATAGTCGCTTTCACATATGCTTCAAAGATCTCATTCATTCTTTCCAGCCAGATATTCTGTGCAAATCATTCCCCAAACTCTCCAAATCTGGTATCTTCCAAACTCTAGCCCATATTTTTATTTGACTGCTGGACTTCCTCACAGAGATTTCTTAGCTGCCCCTTAAAACTCAACATGTCGAAACTAATTCTCTTTTAGTTTTCCCCAATGGCATCATCATGTCATCCAGGTTTCCAACCTTTGAGGAAGTGAGCCTCCTAATCATAACTAGATAGGTTATGATTATTGCATGGTCAAAATGACATTTAACTCGGGTCTGAAAGAGACATGACCACTCCACTACATTCTCTATCTGAATGTTGAGATTCTTCATTGTATCGTCATTGTGTCAGTCAGCAGCATAGTCTCTCAAAATCAGCTGTCGTAAAGCAAAGTCCCTGAAGCTGAAGGCCAGAGCTGGACAGGAAGGCTCTCTCTGAGCTATGGGTTGGAACTGGTCCTTTGGCCTTGGCCAAGAGGAGTTCAAGGCATAGAAAGGACCTTTCCCAGGCGGCTAAGAAAAAAAGGAAAGAAAAGAAAGATGGTTCCTAGTACATGAAACACATCAAATGCCACAAGAAATTGAAGACAGATAAGGTCTTCTGGGCTGCAGGCTAGACTAAGGGACAGGATAGTGGAACAGAGCCAGAGACAAACACAGGTTTAAATTTTGGTTCTGCCTCTGCTAGCTATACAATCTTAGACACAATACTTAATTTCTCTGAACTTCAGTTTCCTTACTTGTAAAATGGAAATAATACCTAAATCTCATGATGTGATAAGAATTAAATTTAATCCTTAATGTAAAGTACCTAATACCAAGTCTTCATCAAAGCAGATACTCAGTTGAATGGTTGCCGTTGTTGTTGTTGTTGTTAGAAGTCTAACATTTTTCTCTGTTAACTGCTGGAGGTCCCTCAACAAAACAAATTACGATATTTTCCTCCAATGTTCAATGAGCTATCACTGAAGGACAGCATTCCACATTGTGGGAGCCCTTAGACCCAATGCTTGAACTTCCTTTTAGTAAGAACCTTCATTTCTCCACAATCAACTTTGAGCAAGTTGCTGTGTCCAAAACAAAGCTCTCAGATAATTGTTTATATACAGTCTCAAAGTCATCAGTCATCATGAGAGGTTCAGCAGTGAGGATAAAGGAAGAACTTGGTCAAGCAGACTGGGGCTGCTGGGTAGTAGGATAAGACAGGTTAAGGCAGAAGAGAACTTTCAAAACGTCTACAGAGCAGACAGGATGTGTATCAAAGGGTTACCAGAGCTGACCTTTTGGGGCTAGTCTCTATATTCTCCTTCAGACAAGCCTTGACCAAAGGATGGGCCCTCATTTCATAAGCCTGTTAGACAGGAGGGTTCAGGGAAAGAGCTGAATTTGTGGGAGTTCAGGACATAGACCCCTGGCTTCACTCTTCATTGCTGATGCTCCTCGAGAAGAGATAGGCATCCAAGTCACACCAATCCTGATAGGTATGTCCAGAAAGAACATTTTCTGTCTAGATACCTTATATAACAACCACTAGAGTCCCACCTCAGAGAAACAAGGAAGAATTAAAGGCCCTAGGAGACTAACTTGGAACAATCACACTGTCTATAAGCCATGGCTCTGGCATTCATACCCATGGGATCCCCGAGCCTGGCAGAATGGAAAAGGACAAATATGGCAATGGCAGTACCACTGCTACCTTATAAACTTAAGGAAAACTGTAGGGAAATCAGACCTCAATGTTACCTGAGGGAATACAGAGATTTTCAACACCACCCTGAACTGAGAACCTTTCTAGAATGAGGGAGCTATCCAGATGCTGGTAGGGAGCCTGTATCACTTGCATTATGAAAAGGATTCAACATAAGTCCAACCCACCCCAAGGCAGCCCAGGGGGACTAACTGGAGCAATCATGCATATGATTATGATTAGCATCCTAAGCCAGAGATATGAGGGTGGTATGCAACAAAGAGGGGTTTAGAGATACACACTGACTTGATTCAGGTGGCAAGGATTACTGAGGACTGCAGAAGAGTCAAGACAAGATCTACAGTTAAGGATTAGGTCAAAAAAGGGAGCTGTTATACTCCCTCCTATTGCTCTACAGAGCAGAAAGGGAAGCTACTGGATATAAAGGATATGCGAGGCTTCTGACTCACCCTAGGGGCTTGTCACAAATGTGAGTTGCCAAAAGACCAGTGCTGACTACTGTGTAACTGATGGGAAAAGCTGGGAGTTCAGAAACAGTCATCAGTCCCAGAGATTATGACTAGCCTAGATGTGATTAGGGATACACATGTCCCAAGCCTGCCTGTGTTTGAGGGTGGTGATGTCCAGGCCTTCAGCAGCAATAAACAAGATCTATAAGAAAACGTGATTGACAGAGTGCCCGCCCTGAAGGCAAGATCCAGAATATGGGGCCAGCAGATATTACATTAGTGGAAATGACATCAGAAGCCATGAGAGGAGAGTCACAGCCCACACATAATGAAGCTGGCAGTGGAAGTAAGAGAAAGTGGTAAGATACAGTCACATGCTATGAAAGGAAGAAACAGGTAATGGGCTTCACTAACTAAGAAATGAACCCAGGCTGCCTGGACAAAGCATGCACAGGGCAAGGGAAACATGAGTTTCTGGTTTCTGAAGTCTCTCCCTGGATTTGTTGTTTCCCCAGCCCAACCAGCATCCCTAACTTCCTTAACTATCCCACTACGTCTCTCTTTACACTTTGTATATCTTACCCTCTCCAGACAACCTCCCTTTCCCTCCCTCAGTGGTTTACACATACCCTCATCCCATGAGGACAGCCCCTACACCCAATGCTTATCATGCACAATGGTTGCCTTGACCATGCCCCAATCATGGTAGCTCACAGAAAACCCTTCCCATCCTCCCACCACCACCCCAAGCAACTCACACTGGTGCAGGCACCCTCTCCCTCTCCTCCCACCCCTGTCACTCACAATAACCCCGCACTTCGGATCAAAAGCGAAGGTGCCACAAGTGAGGAGGTGAGAGGCATTGGCAATGGCGAGAATCTGGACAAAATTGTGACATTCGTCCTGGGGGTCAGAGATGGTTAGAAAGAATCAGAAGCAGCAGGTACAAGGAAGGGTAAGGTAACGTCAGGACAGTCAGATGCAGCTTTGGGATCGGAGATGATGGGTGATGGCATGGTGTTAAGAGTCTCTGCCTGGGCCCAGTGGGATGGAAGCATTACAGGGGACTGAGAGTCAGGGCTGGGCCAAGGTCTCAACTGACACTCAAGACAGGACTCAGATTTACACCTACCTCTTTCTTGCCTTTCTTCCTACAGTTCTGTCTGTGAGCCTCAGGAACCATCCAGTCAATCTGAGAAAAGAGGAGTGATCATTTCACCCAGATTCCCCTAACATCAAACTCCCACAATGTTAGAGGAGATTAAACCTCCATCAGTTTGGGAACTTCAAAAGTCCCCCTAGAGCACTGTTTTTCAAATGGAGGTCCCCACCCATTAATGAGCAATAAAATCAATTGTGAAATCATGACCAATGGCCGGGCGTGGTGGCTCAAGCCTGTAATCCCAGCACTTTGGGAGGCCGAGACGGGCGGATCACGAGGTCAGGAGATCGAGACCTCCTGGCTCTACTAAAAAATACAAAAAACTAGCCGGGCGAAGTGGCGGGCGCCTGTAGTCCCAGCTACTCGGGAGGCTGAGGCAGGAGAATGGCGTAAACCCGGGAGGCGGAGCTTGCAGTGAGCTGAGATCCGGCCACTGCACTCCAGCCTGGGCGCCAGAGCCAGACTCAGTCTCAAAAAAAAAAAAAAAAAATCATGACCAACATCATTTTTAATGAAATAGAATATATCAAAATATAAGAGAGTAGATATTGTTTCAAGAAAGGTTTCTTTCAGTACATAACTGTGTACTGGGCCACAATACACAGTACACACTGAGTATCCCTTATCTGAAATGCTTGTGATCAGAAGTGTTTTACATTTCACATTTTTTCAGATTCAGGGATATTCACAGAATACATACTGGTTGAGCATCCCTAATTTGAAAATCCAAAATTCAAAATGCTCCAATGAGCATTTCCTTTGAGTGCCATGTTGGCACACAAAAAGTTTCAGATTTTGGAGTATTTTGAATTTCGGATTTTTAGATTAGGGATGCTCCAACTGTATAGTTCTTAATAATGGTCAAAAAAAATTGAAAGCTGTTTCCCTATTGTAATTTTAATGATCCCTCTGCCCATTGTCACCTGAAACCTGGTCACTGTGGTCTCCTCCCCATCATCATGAACCTCCTTCATATCCTCCCCAGTCACCCTGATCCCCCATACTCTTAGCTAAGAAAACAAAGTGGATGATGTCTCCCAACTCACCCCCTCCTACTACCCCTGCGGTTACATCTTTAGTTATTATGAAATCCCCCACACACACACACTCATAAAATCATAGATTTAATCACATGCTACGGGGTCAGGGGTCCTTCCCTCTCGTCTCTCACCCTGCGGGGTCTCTCCCCTGAGAAGGGCAGAGATAAAGCGAAGATGGTGTCCCGGGCGCCAACGTAAAGTGTGTGGGAAGCAGGATCCACAAGGAGAACAGAGTAATTGTATGTCTGAGGGACAGCAAACCTGGTGAGATAGGAGTCAGCCTCTGGCAGGAAGACAGGAGAGAGTGATGTTAGCCATTGTTTCCTAAGGGTCGAGTCCACAAGAGCAAAACCAAACGGGCCAATTTTTGTTTTCTTCCAAGTACCAATTATTTAGCAGCCATGGGGGAGAAACGGAGCCTTGACAAGTGAACCAGAGATAGATGAGGCCAGAATATTTAGCACACAATCCAGTGGGTAAGTATGCTTTTTCTATAAAAACAGAGCACTAGCCAGACGCGGTTGCTCACGCCTGTTATCCCAACATTTTGGGAGGCTGAGGTGGGTGGATCACTTGAGGTCAGGTGTTCAAGACCACCCTAGCCAACATGGTGAAATCCCATCTTTACTAAAAATACAAAAAATTAGCTGGGTATGGTGGCAGGCACCTGTAATCCCAGCTACTTGGGAGACTGAGGCAGGAGAATTGCTTGAACCCCGGAGGCGGAGGTTGCAGTGAGCCAAGATCACGCCACTGCACTCCAGCCTGGGTGACAGAGCAAGACTCCATTTCAAAAAAAAAAATCTAAACCTTATATCAGCATTCAAAATTATTATCTATTTAAAGATTGGAATAAGTTGGCATGAATTTACCTTCCTAGCTCAACCTCTGGTTCTGGGGACCCTACCCCTGCACCAATACAGCTCTGCTCTACCTGCTTCCTCTGCTCAGTACCCTCAAGAGGGTAGAATGGACACCAACCCATTCATTCCTAGATGTGCTGATGTGAGTCCCACCCACTCCATCCTCCCACACCCATACTTACCTCTGTGCTGTATCCTGCCCACTCTGTCATGCTTAGTATAAGCCCTGGATCAACTAACTTCCCCTCATATCCTTAACTCCGCTTCACCTTGCTTGCCATCTAGACATCTCTGGATGCCTGCACATCAACTCAGCCCGGCAATCTCAACTTACTTTGTGGCTACTGCTCGGTGCAAACTGAAACCCCAGGCTCTGGCCACAACTTCGCCTTCGAGAATCACAGCATTCCTATATGGCACTCGTCTGAGTTTAAACTCTAAACTACTATTAACCAGTCCAGAGTTGTTGCCAACAGGTGGTACTCTTGGCTTCACTGGTTCTGTCTGCCCAAGGTGCTGATAACACTCAATCCCCACTGAGAAGACAAGATTCATGGCCACGCTCATACCCACCTCAGCAGTCTAAAATGTGAATCGCCCCAATGATCACTTCTAACCTTGTGACGTCTCCTAGCTTCTTCCACATCTTTTCAAAGGATCATATGCCCCTCCTCTATTTTTCCTTCTGAAGACTTGAAAAATCATTTAAGCAGAACTTTACATCAGCACATTGAATGGTTTACCAATATTCAATGTAGGGAATGGGCAGAGACGCAGCAAGGAAAGTTGAGGAAGTTAGGAGAGTTCACGTGGATCCAACAATGGGAGAATGGGAGCTGATGTCAGAGATGTTAGGGGAGCAGGAGGAGGGTTAGGAAGATTAGGGCTGTGAGAAGGGCCAAGAGGCTCGGATGATGTGTAGAACTGATAGGGAAATGAATTGGAGAAGATGGAAATGCTGAGCTGGGGACTGGAATGGAAAGCTGGAGTAGAATGAAAGACTGATGGGTCTGAAAGCAGAGTTGGCGTCAAGCTGGAATGATGGACCCAGGTGTGTGTGCGGGGAAACAGGGGACTAAGGGAGACGAACTTCGAAATGAACGACCTCTGGCAGCCCCCACCCGAGCTCTGGGCCTTAGTGTCTGCACGGTGAGGACTGGACGCTACCGCGGTTCTGGGAATAGGGCCCGCTGGGGCAGCCTGGGCGTGTCGTGGGAGCCGAGGCGCGAGGCCCAGGCTGGGGATGCGGAGCTGCGGGGCGCGGGGGGGATGCAGAGGGGATGCGGTGAAGTGCGAGGGTCTCGCCCGTGTCCCGGCGGGGCGTGGGCGGCGTGGAACGCCCTACACCAGGCTGAGAGGCCCGGGTCCCGCCGCGCGGTCTGGGGAGCAGGTGGGTGTGGGTGTGGGCGCGAAGGTCTGAGGGTGTGGGCGCCCGCGCCTTACCAGAGATGGGAAGCGAGGTTCTGGGCACCGAGCGGGGGACGCGGCCGGATACTGGGCCGCTCAGCACCGCCAGTAGCAGCAGAGGGAAGGGCGAGGCTGTAGGTGGCCCGGGACCCGGGCAGGGCCGTGCATCAGAGGCCGGCATCTTTGGCTCCGCCTGGCCGCGGGTGCGGCGCAAGCTACTGCCTTTGCTCAGGGCCGCAGGGCTACCGGCCTCGGCCCCACTCGGGTCCCCTCGGCTTGGTCCGGCTCGGCCTGAGGCTGAGGGATGAAACACCGCCCGGCTCCGCCCCCTCAAAAAGGGGCCAATGGTCGGGCCGCCTTCTTCCTCCAGGCAATCGGGATTGAGTGGAGGCGGGGCTGAGGGGAGGACAGGCCTAACCCAGGCAGAGGCGGAGCTAGACCCAGGTGAAGGTGGGAGTTCTGCCTCGGAAGTCGGCTGGGGCTGCCACTCAGGGACCTCGAGTAGCGAGTCTGCCCCGGCCACTCCAAAAACTCAAATGCCCATAGCTGTACTAATAAGGAAAACTTACTAATAAGAGGACGTGGATACACGCACCAAGTTTCTCAAAATTAGTACTTTGCAAGCATTTAAGGACAGCTGCTTATGTGCTGGGCAGGCACAGAGTAACGCGCGCGCACACTCACACACACACACACACACACACACACACACGATTGTGCAGAAAATACTAAAAATCACGGCCCTTGCCCTAGGAAGTTCACACTGTAGTGGGGCTTCCAAATGTAAACAAATAGATAATTGCAATACGAAGCAATGCATGTTTGCTATAATAACGTGCAGAAGGACCAGGTTAGAAGAGGTGATATTTGAACTGAGTCTTCTAGGGTTGGTAGGACTTTGAGGGCAAGGAACAAAGACTACCTTTGGGTAGGATATCCACTTGGATATCCTACAAACAAGGCAAGCATAGGTCCTGAGCATAACTCACCATCTCCTCCATCCCAACCCTAGCTCCTTCTTCAGCCACTTAGTCTGCATTTAGCAGGTAATCTTTGCTTTCTCCTTTTTCACCCCCATTGTATTAGTTATCTAGGCTGCAAAACAAATGTAACAAATTAACCTCAGAATTTGGTGGCTTAAAACAAACACAAACAAAAGACATGGTCCCTGAATTCGAATTGCTTAGCCTAGAGGGAAAATCAGACATTTGGAATAAACTTTTATTATCTCTCACAGTTTCTCTGCGTCAGAAATTTAGGAGTAGTTTAGCTAGGTGGTCTGGCTCCAAGTCTCTCACAGGATTACAGTCCAGATATCAAATGGGGCAGCAGTCCACTGAAGGCTTGCCTGGGGCTGGAGGATCCACTTCCACGATGGCTGACTTCCATGCCTGCCAAATTGGTGGTGGCTGTTGGCAGTAAGTGAAGGTTGTTCTCCACATGCATTTCTCCATGGGGGTGATTTAATGTCTTCACAAAATGGGCTGACTTCCTCAGAGCAAGTGATCAAAAAGAACAAGGCAAAAGAGCAAATGATATATTTGTGACCTCGCCTCAGAAGTAACACACAATCACTCTGCCATATTTTACTTGTCACACAGGCCAGCCATGATGCACTGTGGAAGGGGACTTCATCAGGTAGTATACAGGGATTTCAGTGGGAACAAGGATTTCAGCCTCCTTTCCTGGAGACTAGCTACCATGCCCATATGTAAGAAGTCACTATGTCCTTATAAATCCGACTAAAAAATAACTTAAATCCATCCTTTTCTTTCCATTATCATCATAGTTCAGTGCATCATCATCATTCACCTGGACTGTGTGATAGTTCATTTAAAAAACAAAAACCTTACCTCCAATCCCTCCCCTTCCAGACTGCCATCAGGATAATCTTTCTAAAGTGCAAGTACTAGTTCTAGTTTATTCTTTCAACAGTTATTAAGGGCCTACTATATGCCTGGCATTTTACTAAGTACTAGAGATAAGAAGATTAAGACATGGCTGGGCATGGTGGTTCAGACCTGTAATCCTAGCACTTTGGGAGGCTGAGGCAGGAGGATCACTTGAAGACGAGTTCGAGACCAGCCAGGTCAACATAGTGAGACCCTGTCTCTGCAAAATAATAATAATAGCAAGTGGCACACACCTGTAGTCCCAGCTACTCAGGAGACTGAGGCAGGAGGATCACTTGAACCCAGGAGTTCAAGGCTGCAGGGAGCTACGATCACACCATTGCACTCCAGCCTGCCTAAAAAAAAAAAAAAAAGACCTGGTCCCTGATTTCAAATTGCTTAGCCTAGAGGGAAAATCAGGCATTTGGGATCAGCACTTCAAATCGTCTCTCTGAAATCTTCTTTCTAAAACCAACCTCAACACAATGGAAGCCCCTGTCCACCCCCCTGCACCCCCATCTGAGTTTCTTCCTCTAGCACCACTATATGCCTTTCCTAAGCTGCTTCTCATCAGTCTAGCCTAGGCCTTAGTCCCTTCTCTGAACATCATTTATTGGTTATTTTGTCTTTTGATTTTTTTCAAAAATCTTTTTCCGATTTTTTTGCATATGAAAAAACATACAACAAGAGCTTCATTTTACATTGCAACCTAATCACACTTAAGTACATGCATTCACGTACTTAATGTACATATTAGTGAGTTAAATTTTTAGCAAAGTCATACTTACATCATATTTACCTTTACTTCAGGAGCTAAATTCTCATTTTTTTTCCCTATCATGTTGCATTTTATTCTACTCCATTTTTTTAAATGCTAGTTGCAGCCCACTAAATTGATTTTACTACTCATTAATGAGTTGAGATCCCCACTTTGAAAAAAAAAAAAAACTCACTGTTCTATGTAGTCTCATTCATACTAATTTAGTTAACAATGATTTTATGAATCTACATTTCCAGGCAATATCTTTCTCTTCAGCTTCTGACACACACATCCAAGAGCCTAGTGGACATTTCCACATAATGTAACCACAGGCACCTTGATTTCAACATGCCCAAAACTGAAGTGTCATCCCCACCCTCATAGCATCCTGGTAATTGTGTAGATGCTAAAACCAATGTTCCCCATCTCTATACATAGTACTACTGTCTTTCCAGCTGTCTAAGCCAGAGACTTTGCATTCGTTTATTCAACAAGTATTCATTGAATGCCTACTGTGTTCTAGGCCCTGTCATTTTGGATTCCTCCTAATCAATCGAATCAATCACAAAGGCCTGTTAATTTTAACTCCTAAATATTTCCTCCCACATCTCTGCGTCCCCTCTACCAACACCCTAATTCAAGCAACTATCTTCTCTTGCCTGGGCTACTTCCTACTCTAGTCTTATCCCTGTGCCCCGCTGCCACCACCCCAATTTTAGCCCCCAATCCATTCCATTTAAGTCAGGAAAGGCAGGGAGAACGTTCTCTCCAGTACACAAATCAGATCATGTCACTCTTCTGCTTAAACACTTCAGTTTATCTCCCCATTCTAGCCCACTCCATTTTTGCTATGAGATAAGATCCAAAGTCTTTAATATAGTCCACAGATCGTGTATGTTCTGGCCCTTTGCCTAACTCTACTGCTTCATCTTTGCCACTCCTCTTTCACATACTATACTCCAGACTGGAGTATAGTTCAGCAAGACTGTTGGGAAATCATCAAGCCGATGTTGGCCATTAGAGGAGTGCTGTGTGAGGACTGCATTATTTCCCAGGAATGGGTCTGCCTCAGTATCCCGACCACATTCAGTCAGTGGCTGGGAAGAGGGCCTCCATGGAAATGTGGCAGTAGATTTCTAAGGCAGCAGCTGATGCCCTTGGTCAGTTACACTCCTTGTAGTTTAAAGTCTGCAAGGTGCTTTCTCATGACCATTATAGTTTGTCACCCTCAGAAAACAATTCTTATGTCATAGTCTCCATTTCTGGTAAAGTTCTTTGCATATTTTTAATAAATGCTATAGAGGGCACAGAAAGAAATTAATAGTAGGTAAGAGCAATAGGTGGTATGGTTTGGAGTGAGGCTAGTGCTCAAGTTTGAATGTGTCCTCCAAAGTTCATTTGCTGGAAACTTAATACCCAATGGAACAGTGTTCAGAGGTAGGGCCTAATAAGAGGTGATTAGGTCATAAGGGCTCTACCCCCGTAAATGGATTAATGTCATTATCTTGGAAGTAAGTTAGTTACTGAAAGGGTGGGTTTGTTGTAAAAGTGAGTTCAGCTCCCTGTTGCTGTCTTGCTCTTTTGTACTCCCTTGCCCTTCTGCTTTCTGCCATGGGATGACACAGAAAGAATGCCCTCACTAGATGTGGGATTCTCAACCTTGGATTCCTACCCTCCAGAATTTAAGAATACATTTCCTTTATTTATAAATTACTTGTTCTGTGGTATTCTGGCATAGCAACACAAAGGGGAGTAAGACAGTTAATGTTGGGGTTGAGCCTAGTAAGGTAGGTGGGGTCAGTTATAATGGACCCTTTAACCGAAAAGGAAACATAAGCCGTTTTTAAGACAAAGAATATGATCAAAATATTTTTACAAGGACAATTCTAACATCAGTGGAAAGGATAATCTGGAGATTAGAGACAGGAAGGCTAATTTGGACTATATGGGGGGAAAGAGCGATTGAGAAGCTACCCTTTCAACAGAAACACAGGAACTCTCTTGTATATCAGATTATAGTGTTTAAAAAAGGACACAAGTTAAATAGTTCTGTTCTTACCCTGAGGAACAGTTGATAGGAGCAAAATGGTTTAGTGGGACTAGAATACAAGCAGGTGACCCTTTTCCTGTTGAAACATGTAACCTATCCTGTGCCATTCATTGAAATACTGTCCCACCCCACCTCCAACCTGCATCTAGGCAATGAACTGAGAAAATAATAATAATAAAGAAAACAAGGAAAACTGCTTGTACATTTCTAGCTTGGAAGTAGCATTCTCTTTCCCTCTCCTGTGGACTAATTCAGAGAATTCCTTTT